TATATCCGCCTTTTCTTCTTACTTTAGCTTTTGCTACGCAATCCATTGGTTTGGTGGTCATCTTTCTTTCCATTTAGCCGTGATAGGAATCCACCTTTTCTTCCGAAAAAGATATCATCTTGTAATGTTGGAAGAGAACAGAATACCTAACTTTTTATCTTGAAATTTTCTCTGTTGGACATATAATGCTGGGGGCTAAAAGAACATTATTATCTGCAATTGCTTTCTTGAATCCTTTGAACTTAAGTTTGGTGTGATTGGTATTACACGCTGATAGAAAGAAGCAGGGAAAAGCTGTAATTAAGTTGGATAATGACTGTGGTTTTGACCTAATTATGCAGCTTGTTTATTGGCTTCTTCATTAACGTATGATCTAGAAAAAATAGGCTTATAATAGTTCTCTACGCACATAAAGAACAATAAACTCTTTTTAGATAGTTAAGTCAAGATTCACTTATATAAATGTAAGCCATACTTATGAATTCCATATATGTTCAGTGGTTGAAATGATGGTGTCATATTTAATAATGAAAAATAATTGATACATATTTATTTTGATATATTTTTTTGACATCGGTCAAATTTAGTCATTAAAAATATAATATAAATATAATCAATTTAATTAATTTTTTACATTTTATATATATGATTGCATTTTTAAATTTGTTTATCTTTAATTTTCGACAAAAAATAATACTTTTTTGATAAATATTTTGTCTAGTATGTTAAATTGAAATATATACTAATTAGTATTCTTTAGTAATATACCTCCATGGTTAAATTTAAAAACTAACTACTGATAATTTAAATAAATCCTGATTCTAATTGTTTTAAACGGAGGGTATAAGTAGAAACACCGTTTGACCTCCAAATTAAACCAAATGAGTGCCCTGTGCTCAGATGGTCCAGATGCAACTAAATTTAACGCCTAGCACCATACACCAAACAATTCCAACCAGAGTGAATGTTTTTCTTGCAATGCACGTGGTATGTGTAACAAAAGTAATGTGTCACAGAGTGGAAGGCCCCAAAAAAGGAGTTGGAAAAGGAGAAATTCAAACTACTACATGGAGGCTTGGATAATGCCGCAGGCTGTTTTGTCAAGACCACAAAAATCATATTATATGTATCAATTACCGGTTATTCTGAGTAGAAAGAATTCAATTTTTTTAAAATAAAATTTTAAATATGAATATTTTAAATAAAAAATTAAACACTGAAAAAACTTGTTGGGACCCAATTAACTACCAAATACTAGAGGATTTGTACAAAAAAATATAATGTGTTTAATTTGATTGATTTTATCTGTTTATAATTTTTTTTTATCTTAAATAATTTGTTTAGTGTTTAGAAATATCAACTTATAAATTGATTTTAATCTGTTACCATCAACTAATAGCTATAGTTATGAGTTGTTTTCAACAGTTAGACAAATGTTTTACGTGGCAAAAACCATGCCCACTATATAGCTTTTCATTTTTCTAACTTTATTGACTCTCAGTTTGCCATTAAAAGAAAACAAGCAACGCTATCCCACCGCATTTTAGGAGAAATCCAAAGACTCTGCAAGATTAGTATTAACTGTTACAATGCACTACAATGGATCAATGATTAGGCAAATAATTTCTCATCATAATAAGTATAATGAAAGATTAGAGTATCTTCTGTAGCAAGATGATCAAGAATTGCAGTGAATTTGTTAAAATTTCAGATTGTGAGTTGAAATCACCTACTTTCACGAGAACACTATTTTCTGCCATTAAAGTATCAGAGAAACTCCACAGTGAAGCGTAGTTTTCATTACCTACAAGAAAAAGATCATCATTGATGTGTAGTGCTCTTGTCTGTGTGAAGCATAATTTAAAATAATAATCGTATTTCTTCATTATTTCTCAATAAGAAGTACAAATACATGTTCTGCAACAATCTTTGGTTCTCAGGGCATTTTTTTCATGCCCATTAGCGACTTTAGCGTTACATGCATAATATAATCATGCTGAAAATATAAGACTATCAAACCCAGGCACTTTCAAGTCAAAGAGTTCTAAGCAAATCAGGTATGGAAGAAAAATTTCAGTGTCATAAATGATTGCAGTCCTTAGCCAGAGCTTTTCATGTATGCATCATCTTTGTATTTAGAATATAATGGAAGATCAAGGGCTTTCTCTGCAATTCTTCTGTCTTCTTGAATTTTCGCTATCAAGCTCTCAAGAGTTGGGAAATTAGCCTGTTGCACAAATGAAGACTCACTTAGAAAGAGTGCTTGCATGCAGTGTAAGGAAAAAAACAGAACAAGGGCAAAGGTCCTTTGGTACCTCAGGCCGTATATAGCCAACTATAACAAGACGCAATTCCTCGCCATAGAAATCCTCATTAAATTCATGAAGCAACCATGGCTCCTGCAACATAGAATGAATTTAGAATAGCAATAAGACTTGCACAAGCTACCATCTAAATCAGTGTCACACTCACTATTGTCTTTTCGGCATTGTTGAAATATGGGTTCCAACCAATACTCATGACCATTTTGTAAACACCACGTTTTGATAATCCAGCCCAACCAAAATATACCCCTGAAGGATTTTCGGAAAGGACACTTGAATGACCTTGCGTTGATAGATTAGCTGCAAATAGATATTGAACTTGTTAATAAAATTGATGACAGAAATATCACTCTGGGTATGTGAGAAACATGATACAAAATATAGCAAAAAAATCCCAGTCTTATTAAGTCCAAATCATTAAGGTTCAGACAGAGTTTGTATTATGGCATTATTCCAGATATATATTCAAAAGACAATATTAAGAATAATTCTAGATTAATAACCCTTAACTTTTATCACAAACCTGTAGGGATGCCAAGTAGCTTTGAGCCACGACCAAATCCCTTAATGACAGGGCCCCCTATATACCAAGGTTCTATTGGTAAGGTACCCTCTATCCCTGCACCCACAAAACAATGTTTTTGGCCAAGATCCTTTGAGGACATATCTAGGAAACAGGATTAAAGCATGATACAGGTTTCCAAGGTTTACAATCTTGAAATGGAGGTAGGCCCCACTTTTCAGGTCGAAAATCAAGCAGGGAGTGGATAACTTCATCTGCTGCTGTAAAAAGATGAGTTTGTTTTGGAACAGATGGCACAGCTACCACCTTCATTCGAGCAGCCTTACCAGCCATAAGACCAGTCCTGATAGAGCCAAAGCATTAGAATCAAAGATTAAAACTATATATGCTCCATAAACTGTGTACTGAAACAAAATAAAAAGTCGCACAAACTTAATAACAACCTCAAATTGAAGTTTTAGTTAATCTTTGCAATAAAGTAGTAGGTAAGAAAGTATTAATGAAAGGGATAAATAGGTTATAATTACATTCATACAATGAATTTCAGAGTACAGCATAAATAATAAAAATTGAACTCACACAGAATCTTCAATGACCAGGCAGCTGCAAGGTTCCATAGTCAGCCTTTTAGCCGCTTCCAGAAATCTTAAATATGACAAGAAAAGAGAATGCCAGAATTTGAGAAGACGCAGCTTATAAAACTAGAATCTCAGATTTTTCATGTTTAGAGAAACAATATTCCATGGATGTTATGATTACTGACTCACATTTCAGGAGATGGCTTCCCTGTGGTCACTTCATCACCACCAATGATGACAGAGAAGCATTCCTTCCAGCCTAGAATAGGGCAACTATGAGGAAATAGCTGAAAGAAATAAAATCTTAGAGAGTTCCTAAGAAATCTTACCTTTCTGATATGAAAGTTTGTACTCTATGCTTGCCTTAGCGGAGTTTGATGCCAAACCCATTAGCACACCATGACCACTCAAATGTTTAAGCAACCTACTGGCACCTGAAAATGCTTTAACGTTGCCAATCCTACACCAGCAATCAAAAGCAAGAATTCAAAAAACTATTGCCATACCTAATCAATTCAACATCTAAGATCAAGAATACAGAAAAAGATGATCTTTTCTATTTCCAAGGTATTCAAACGTTTGCATTCAACAATTTCTTAATAATATCAATTAACTTCAGTTTCAAGCTAATTTACTTACCGAGCAAAGAATGCTGGGGTGATTTCAGCCAAAAATTCATCATTTCCACAAGGAAGCCCATAATCTTCCACAATAACAGCTGCAGCTTCAGAATGTGTCTTCCCTATAATTTTTTGAGCTTCTCTCCCATCCCATTCTTTCCCATACTTAACCAATAAAACCTTTAACACATCTCTCACCACACCATCTGCCATGAAAACGAAAATAAATCAAAAACTTAAGCAACAGCCCAAAAAAAAAAAAAAAAAAAAAAAAACAAACCAATAGCTTCACAATCGAGAACTCCGGTGAGGATATAAGGAAGGAAGAAAAGCCGACCTGTGTTAACAAGTGTGCCGTCCAAATCTAAGATAACGCAGGATACTAACTTCTCCGGAGATTCGGCCATCGGAACTCAGAGTCTCTCAGAGGTTACGCTTGCATCAAGTGAATATTTGAAGGAACTCCGCCGTCCGCCAGCTTACTCTTATAGGGGCGGACTGAATTACCGAGAAGCGAATTTGTGCTCTGCGGAAGTATCCGACCAGCGAATTTGTGCTTTTGTGTTTGCGTTGATATACCGCTGCGCTTCCTTCGAGTGCTTAGCGTTCTGTTTTATGGTAAACGCCCATCGGCAGAGACAAAAATAGGAGACGCGCTTTATAATTGCA